AGCCGAAGGAGCGAATCGTATCATTGACACTGAGGATTTCGAAGGGAGATCAAGAAGCCTTGGGCCTGAAAAGAACTCTGCAATGCGACTGCCAGGAGTGCGATTGGTCTGAACCCTGCCCATTCAACATCACGAAAGCGGCATTGGACAACGCCCCGATCGAAGTGGACAAAATTGCCCATGGAGACGACGATGGGGAAGTGGAGAAGAGCCAGATTGTGGGCGCCTGGAGGAAGCTGTTTGGCTCGAAGGTCTCCGGTCATTCAGGCAGAAGGACAGGAGCACTACAATACATTCGAAGGGGATGGCATGTACCCCAAGTGGCTTACTTGGGACGATGGAAGTCCAATGTCATCCTCCAATATGCGGAGGAAGCGCTCGAAACTATGCCAGTTATGGCCAGGACGAGAAAGATCACGAGTACGCCGCCTTCGAAAACAGAGATCATGACACAGATGGCCAAGGAGACGGACACGAAGGCGATAGAGAAGATGAAAGAGACGGGTGCCAAGTTGAAGAAGGAGATTGACCAGCTGAAAGTGATGCAAGACAAACTGGACGAATCCATTGACAGATGGGAAGAAATCTCCATCCGGCACCAAGGTCTGCTTCCACCCGTGGTGATATCGAGGGCCGGTCTGGTGCACGAGAACAAGCGGCAACCGGTGGCTTCACCTGTGACGGCTTGGCGCACGAGATGCGGCTGGCCCTACGGTTCATCGAGTTTCAGCTTTGGCCTGGACATCACTTCAGTGACCTGTCAAAAGTGCAAGACCCTTGCGCTGGGCATTGAGGATAAGTGTGGCAAGGGTGGAGGATAGCATGAAGAAAGAACATGCGACTTTGACACCAGCGTCGAAAAGCTTGCTTGAGTTTAGGATTAGGGTGGATGCACACCACATTGTCGTGGAAGAAAATGGCACATTTTCTGTAGGACAAGTTTTGGTGTGCTGGGTGGGGCCAGGGCTGAGTATGCCATTTTGGCTCAAGCCCTGGCCCCACCATGTTGTTTTCCCACCCACCCACTCCAATATATGGAGGATAAGTGTGGCAAGGGTGGAGGATAGCATGAAGAAAGAACATGCGACTTTGACACCAGCGTCGAAAAGCTTGCTTGAGTTTAGGATTAGGGTGGATGCACACCACATTGTCTGTTTATATACATATTTATATAATATATATACATACATGACATCTATAAATAAACAACTCATCCCAGATTCTTCAGGTTTGTGTGTTCCAGTGTTCCATGGTGGTACTCACGTTCCAAGTTCCTGCTGCCTTTGATTCGGCAGCTTTGGATGGTTTGGTATGAGGTTTGTCCACGGTCCACACACCAGCTCTCCGATCGGGGTCACCACTGGACTACCCTGCATAAAAACAACCCAAAGCATCCATGTATGACTAGATGTACCTGCATTTCGGGGGTTCAGGGGTCAATGTAGGCATGTACTTACACCAGTGGATGGACCGTTTGGGAATATGGACCTCCATTGATTGGACACCCAAACAGAATCAATCCATCGACACATATGTTTTAAAGCTCTCGCGCCGCCTCGTCCGGTGGGCGGGCACCGTTCGGTGTAGACCGTCACCGAGGTCTCCGGTATTTCTGTCTGTTCTTTCCGACTCATGCAACGTGCGGAGGTATTGCCAAGGATTTGACCTTGAACGATCCCTGGAACGAGCATGACATGTATGAGAAACTTTTGCTCTTCAATGCAGTCTATGATGCTTGGCAATGATATAGGCCGTAGGCCTCAAAAACGCTTTTAAATTCATGACAAAGTGAAACATACGAGAGCCATGTATCAAGATGTGTGCGTGTGTGTGGCAAATAGGAAACCCTGCGCGATAGTACTTCCTGCATGAGGTCTTTTCGGGGGGGGAATGAATCGACTCATTGATCTCATTTTGCATTGGAACTTAAAAGGACGTTTTTGATCGTTTTTGTATTGAACGACCCATGGAGGGGTGGTTGAATCAATCAGGGTTGGGCAAGCAGGCCTATCGAGTGGTGTTTGGGGAACCTTTATAAAACCGGACTTCCGCCGGCTGAGGCTTTGTTGCACGCTAGGAAGGTCCTTGGAGGGGTGTTTGCATGATGCCATCTCAAACACCCCAAATAGGGGTTGATCACCACGTTTGCTCGATTGCCGTGGATCTTATCTTGTGTTTGAATATCATGTGTTGACTTGCACTTGGGGTTTACTTGGGGTGTACCTGTGGATCGATGATGCGTCATTTCCGCAACTGGTTATGTCCCCTTCTGGGTCACAATAAATGAACCTAAAGATTCATCTGTTTCAGGTCACTCTGACCGTCATTCCAATTCTTCAGAGGCATGTTCGAGTCATTTTGTTCAAAATTATCTCACTGGACAGTATACTTCATGAGATACCATGAATCACCTTTTGTCTTGCCTTCGCGGTCTGAGTTTTAGTCCTGGGGGAGGCTTCTGCCAATTGTTCACAATCGCATCAATCCTGGTTCAGTCTCTAGCTCTCTATATTTTCCCAGCCTTCTGTACCTGTTTCCACAGTGAATCAAGGGGCAAGAGGTTGCTGCACGACTGGGGCATACTGCAAGTCATGTTTCGACTTTTTACCGTGCTTCCATGGAGGTGTCCAACAAAAGGTTACACTCCCTGGAACTAACATGGAAGTGGAGAATGGCCCCTTGGAAGACCATTTTCCACTACAAACAGGTGCTTTTCCATTTCCATGTTAGTTCCAGGGAGAGTAGCACTGGTTTTGCCAAACGTTCCTAGTTATAACATGATCTTATAACTAGTTGAGACCAGTTCCCCACTGGTTCCCCACACAGCTGCGGTCAGACCAGTACCAGGCCCCCGCAACCCGTTGGGGTCCGTTTCCCTCAGGAGTTGGAATTCTCCACGGGCTGCTCAGGGCTCCTGGCCGCCGACCTGAACGGCACGGTGGTGCACGGGCGCCGCTGGGCGGAAGCCGGGATGAGACCTCCCGAAGCCAGACGCTGCATGAATTTGGGATATATATAATAACATATATACTCTATACCACATATAATCACATGATACTCTATATTATATGTATTTCACATATAATATCACATGATACTCGTTCCCTGCCACTTGAGACCTGTTTACATTGGTTATATATGATGTGTTTTTAATGCCTATATTGACCCCTGAAACCACATGAAACCATTTCAACACATAGGGTTGTTTCAATTTGGAGGGGTATTTAATTTTGGATTTGTTTCGTTCTATTTGAATGCTTTATTGTGTTTTTTTTGTTTTCTGTGCTTGTGTTGCTGTGTTGCTTTTCCTTGCTTCTCACTGCTTCCTGCTTTTCCTGCTTTTCTGTGCTTGTGTTGCTTTTCCTTGTTTCTCACTGCTTCTGTGCTTTTCCTGCTTTTCTGTGCTTGTTTTACTTTTCCTTGCTTTTCATTCCTTCTTTGTGAATCCTCTGTCTTTCCTTGCTTTTGCTGCTTTTTGTGCCTTCTTTCTTGCTTGGTTTGTTTTTCCTGTTGTTTCTCCTGGTTGGCTTTATGTTGTTCCTTCTTCTTGTTTTTTGTAGCGTAGTGAGTCTCTTTGATCTTTAATCATTTGGTGCTGTCGCTTTTGAGGGGTAGGTATCAAGAAACAGCAATAAGGGTCAATAAACAGTTATACGCATCAAGACATAACAAGACTAATACGCATCAATTAACACATGTTTGTCCCCTCATCCCGTGGTCTGCTGGTCCCCTGGTCCCTTGGTCTTGCTCCCCTGGTGCCTTGGTCCCCTGGTCCCCGGTCCCTTGGTTGGTCCCCTGTCCTTCTGGGAAGAAACTGAAGCTAGCAACTCACCCCGGTGTGTAGACCTGTCCTCTTGTGAAACACGGATCCCAGCCATTCCACGATGTTCCATGGGTTGATCAAGAACAATGGAGGAGGCAAGCCCTGCAATGCCCTGGTAAACCACGAGAACCATGAGGATCATGTTGAGAAAGCTTTGTTGGCCGCCCTGCCAATGTGCCAGCCTCCACATGATGCAACAAAGCACGCCGTGATACTAAATTTTTCCCCAAAGTGGTGAATGACTCTTCCCACAGCCACAGGATCAACTTGTTACAGTGGTTTCTGAGTTGATGGCACAGACCTCAAAGATGTCCTTTACAATGAAATTCTTCTTGGCACAACCACCGACTGTGGGGATTGTGCCATCTACTCTGAAAACCACGAAACATTTCAGTTCTTCGACTGTAGCGAGTTGGTAGCGAGTTGACAGTCGAAGTGGTCGCCTGCGCCATCGCACATCGTGCTCGCCGTTTCACCGGACGTTTTACAGGACCATGTGCGGGACAGACCATGCATGTATAACCCAGACGCGACCCTGGACCCTCATATGCAGGGGTCGGACCCTCATATGGAGGGGTCTGGACCCTCAAAACCCCATGGTTTTGAGGAACCCTGTCGGGCTGTGAACGGAGCGTTTGGGAAGGGAGCATCTGGGGTCAATGGATGTACCATGGATGTACCTATTCCAGTCCCATGGATGGTCTGGAACATGTTCAAACAGCCGCCATTCGCCCTTCGCCACGGCCTGGAGCATGCGCTTCGCCATGCGAAGCTGCCTGCTCCGTCGAAGTCTCGGAACGTGGCGTCCCGTTGACCTGGTTTGTAGTATACGAATCCTTACTAAAACAATGGTTGTTCGGGATTCCAGGCTATTAAATCAATGACATGGCGTTTTTTTCATTCTAGGGGTTTTCAGGACAATCAGACACAACCCAAAACCCTAAACCCTACAGTGTCTTACAGAAAGATATACAGCTGCATTTCAATTGCTGCTTTCTTCTCTTGCAATGTGGGCTTTCAGCGCTCCGCAGACCCAGAATCTCACCCTTCCAGGGGCCCGTGCTGGTCTGTACTCAGCCAATGGAGCTACAAACTTTGACGTCGTAAACAAAGCAACCGAATCCTGAGTGGCCAACTCCAATCTCAAACACATGGTTCGGTTTCAGCTTCTGTTTGTGTAAACCTGTTCCTTCTCAATTTCTCCAAACAGCGCCATGGCGGACAGCGCCGGCCTGGCCGTGCTGCGGCCACGCGTGAACCGCGCCAGCGGCTCTTCCGCCGTTCCGCGGCGCACGGCGGTGAAGAGTGCGGCGAAGGCGATGCTCGCGGGGAAGCCGCTCGGAGCGGATCGATGCTGAAGGGTTCTTCGCACACACATTGCAACAAACAGATCTGCATCAGTACGGGATGTGGCATGTTTTTGGGGGGTTTTCACCTTTATACCGAGTTTGTTTTTCTAGTTATTTATTACTTCATATACTGCTAACAATAGCATTTACACAAATCACTTCCACTTCGGAACGTTCGGTCCCCAGTGGTACGGTCCGAGTTCTCGTTGACCCACACCCATGTGGAGCTCCCATTCACCAGGTGGTGAATAAACCAAATGTTTAGAAACAACTGACCTGAAGTCTCAAAATTCGCAATGCAGAAAAATTGGTACAATTTAAGGGTCATGTCATGTCTCATGTTCTAGTACTTGAAGTAGAGTCCAGGTATGTTTAAAAGATGAAGCACTTGTCGTGTTCCAGCCTCCGTACCTTGTCGGATTGGCGAAGACTGAGGCGTCGCTCCAGTTCGGTTGAAGCAGTGGAGAGCTCCAGTGGTGGGGAGGCGCCCTTGGATTGAGTGCAAGATGTAGAAGTTGTGTAGTCAGGGGTGTTTTTGGGGTTCGAACCGGGCGCTTTCGCCCTTTTGAGGTGGTTGCTTGACCTGGAGAAAATTAAACCACCCAGAGACTCCATGTTTATATGCGAACCACCCCAATGTAGGTAGATATACCATACGTGGAGTGTCTGGGATATATATATATATATACACAATACACAGTCTAAGAGCAATTGTTCAGAATCTTTCCCTGTCCTGAGAACCCTGAGTTGGGCTCCATGGCAGGGGTCGGACCTGACACCGAAACGCAGTTCTTGGGGCTCCACTGCTTGATGGACACCAAAAAGCACAAGCAGACCCATCACCCCAAGCCCTGATTGGTGCTGCATGGAGGACGCGGCGTTCCGCGCGTGCCGTTGGACTTGCTGGACTGTGAGCAGGAGGAAGCTTTGTTTGATCGCCAAGCCAGCCACTCATAATTTGTAGATTGGGCTATTGGTTGGCTGGTAGTCCACCCGTTAGCCAAACTAAGTAGGCCTCTATGCAGCGCCGCTAAGTAGTCCATTATGTCTGTATAATGTGATTTTGCCTTGGGATCATCCAGCTCAGGACCTGCACTTTTCTGTTTTCTCAGGGCTGTGTTTCGGCCATCTTCAAATTTCACAGCGACTGCACATGAACTTCAGATTCACTTTGTTTCTGCCTCAACAAATGGATGCCCTGGAGATTCATCCCAACCAAAGCATCCCGCGCCAAGACGAGGCAGAGAGGCTGCAGCACGAGGCGCAGCAAGCCTTGGCACGGCTGATGCACGAGAAGCGCCAGGTGCGGGCTGTCTAGGCTGCACCAGAAATTACCCCAGACACTCCATGTATGGGATATATGATTATACATATATATATATACATACATAGTACACTTTGGACATGCATATACAATCATATACAGTATATATAAATATATATACAAACGTGTATGTCTAAAGTGTACTGTATGGGGACCATTGATGGGCAAGGAGAGACGGCCAAGACCACCTGGGATGTACAAGAAACACGTTCAATGTTGGGAATACTCCAAGTGACTCTAATCTTTGCCAGTGCTTTTTTCTAACAATTGAGTGTTCCTGCATGAAGTGTGTATATATATATATATATGTGTGTGTGTGTGTTGATCCAAGATGGTCGCGGCGGTCTTCGTCTTGGGCCTTTCATCCCTCATCAGATGCAAAACACAGAACCTGTAGGATCCCTCCGCTCCAAACATTTGTGTGGTTAAGAGACTCTTCTGTTGAACATGGTAGAACCTAGACCACCACTGGTAGAACTGATCTCCTTGATTGTGAGTACCCGCATCATCATCCCAACACTCGCATCATCAAGTCGATCAACATTGTTTCAGTCCCGTGGCTGACCCGACAGCTGAGTGTCGGGTGGTTTGAGGCTTCCCTGTCGGCATACATGTCTCACATATATGCCATACAATGGATGGAGTGCTTGGGGAAGGACATGCAAACATTGAGTGCTTATTGAGGGTGCTTGTTTCGTCATCGGTTCGGCAAACCTCCCCTGCGGTCAGTTCGCCAGGAGCTGGAACAGATCCGACAAGAGGCCAAGCAACGTCAGCTGGCGCAGCTGCGCTCACGCCTGCAGCAGCAACAGGTGGGAATGGGTCGCGGACATTCGCACGGTGCGGTGGGTGGGGGAATCGCATCTCACACCCATCCACACCCAACGTATGTAAAGCGGTGATGAATACAAGACCTGGACAGCTGGACAGCTTGGCCACGTATCCCATGGAGTGCTTGGAAATTTCGTTGGGACACGGCTTTTTGAGGCTCTGACGGTTCCCAGTTCGGCAGACGGGCCAAGATCGAAACCCGTCAGAGTGCGGACAGGGACACTGGGGAACACCGAATGGTTAATCACGTAGGATCCCTTCTTCCTTTGTATACCTAGACCTTCAAAGGGGTGCCCAATGGAGATCCCTAGGTAGTGTAGGGGCTTCCATTGGTGACCCCTTTGAAGGTGCTGGTATATGATTGTACATATTGCCTTGTGATCTGTGCATGTTTCACATCTGGGAGCACCCGGTTACGCGGTATCAACCACTTGGAACCCAGGCATTACACTTGTTTTGATTGGACGTTTGGACAGAATTGCTGGTGCTCCTTTTAGATGAGTAAGTATTATACACAATACATGATACCTCTTTCCAACAAGTCATAGAAGCTGAGCAGATCCTCCTTGTATATAGAGGAAAACTGGTCTTCCAACCGCAACTGTTCCACTTCCATATGATCCCCCTTGTAAAGGAAACTAGTCTTCTATGTTTTCAGGGAGTCTTAACAAAACCGCAGAGACTTCCCATATCTGGGCTCTCCCATCCTACGCCATGGCCTTCGCCCCTCGTGTCCAGGTCTTGGTCACCGGCGCAACCTCTGAGCCTGCGGGGGCGCCCGCGCGGGCACCCGCGGAGCGGTTGCGGCGTCAGCTCCTGCGCGCTCGGGCTCCGGAGGAGGCGGAGGCGAGGGGGGAAATGGAAGAGACCAATAACAGAGACTTTTGTTGTCTTTTTCATAAAGACTTTCGCGTGCCAGTTCCAAGTTGCTTTGGCCCGATATGTTGGAGGTGATCCACCCGAACTCCAAGAACTCCAAGTGTCCCGCAGATTCTTGATGTTTGACAAAGACCAGGAGACTGAATAGGGTCAGTTGAAACTTAGGAAAAGGAACTGCATGCGGCCCCCCCACATGTCGATTTGTCTGAAGTACCTGGAGTCGACCCGTTCATACCTTGGAAAATAGGTACCGTCGTACCTGATGTTTGTTCGGGTCATGTGCCATTTTGTAGGGTACTTGAAGTTCGGGTCCAGGAACCGTCGAACCCGCTGTTGCCAGTCTCTCCAGTCTGTGGAGAGTTCATCAGAAGCTCAGCTGGCGGAAGAGGAAGAGGAGGAAGAAGAAGAAGAAGAGGACGAGGAGGATCTGCTTTTGAAACAGCACGAGCAGCAACCTTTGATCATAGGAGTGCAGAAGCTTGTTGTAATCATGGATTCTGAAATTGCTGGACTGAGTCGTGGTTTTTGAGCTGCTGAGAGGGCTTAGCCGACCCTCTATACTTTGGAATGGTCATAGAGCATTTCTGCTGACAGAGAGGTTCATTTTGGCCGATCATGAGACTGCAGACACCGAGATCCAGTTGTGACGCGTGACCTGCATATACAACAGATCAGTAGTTTTTATAGTGCCAGACAAATGGCGAACCTGCATGTTTGATGCAGATTCCTGATCCACGCAATCAGCAGCATGGTCTGCGTATGTCTGCGTATGTTTTCGTTTCATAGCGATTCCAAGGATTGATTCCGATAGGTTGATCATTTTCTGTTGGGAGTGCCACTATTGATCGGATGAGTGTCTCCCTGCAGGATGAGGAGGAAGAGCCGCGTCATGTGAAGAGGAAGGCTCGCCGCATGGACGAGGCGCGTGCGGCGCGTGCGTCAGACCGGGTGGGGCGACTGGACTCGAACCTCTTGAGCAAAGCCCAGTGGCCCAGTCTCCCCTCAAAAAGGTCGATGGTTTTGAGAGAGTCGGCCAGTGAATGGAGCGTTGGAGAAGAAGGTTCATGCTTCGAACTTCGAGTTGTGCATTGAGTTGGAATCGGTTGGGGCTGGATCCGCTGAGTTGCTTTCAAGAACGGCAGGGCAATAGCTGGGACACGCCCAGCTGGTTTTGTGGATTCTGGCGATTGGTGGGAAACGGTGAATCCTCGAAAGTTCACAACCATCAATAATGTACTATAGTTCACAACCAATATGGCTATAGTACCAAGAAGAAAAGAGAGGATGCCTGAAATTAGGAACATTTTCTTATACTTCATCCTGGTTCCTGGACAGCTTTGAGCCAAGGTGGATCGAAAGCCTGTGCAGCTGAAAGCTAAAGCCGCTTCGAAGGCACCGGGTTCGTGCGGAGGGCGCTTTGAACGGGCGGGGTCAGAAGCTGACCGGCCGCGGGCGGAATGCGTTTCAGTGAATTTCGGTGCGAACGATGGTTCCAGAAGCCCGCCCAAAAAGTGGGGTGTGCTAGTGGGATTATTTGACGGTCGTTTTTTTGGGGTGTCTTTGAGTGACGAGCACTAAAAGATCTAATTACAAGTCCAATCTGACCCAATCAAATCTAGGTCCTGAACACCGAAAATTGATGAACATTGAATTGAGGTGTTTGTGTGTTTGTATGATCAAGTCCAGTACAATGGTCGGTCAGTTTCTGACCTGTATGGTGAAGGGCATGGGGTTATACTCGACTGAGTCGACTTCCCTTTGCTCCTTCATCTTGCCTGGTGGTGCTGATCGGTTGCGTTATTATGCAAAAAGACCTGTCTATTGTCAACTGCAATTGCTAGTATGACATGGGATGACATGGGTGTTTCAGGCAAACACATGCAACATAGATCAAAATAGAATACCCATGAACAACGAGTGAACCCGTGAGCAGTCTCAAATAAGCCGGTCAATTTGGAGGAGACGATCAGAATTCACCCAAATTACTGTATATTGGAGAAGGATAGAGCCGATAGAGTTCACATCAATTGGAGAAGTTTGGAGAACGATCGCATTCAGCATGAGCGTGCTATGTCTCCAAACGGTATGTCAACCACAGATTCTTTGTCCACATGGAATTTGGTGCCAAGACTCGTCGCGACGTGGTCTGTGGGCTCACGGTGTTTGGGAGCACGTGGTGAGCTCCCAGGCGCTTTTGATTCCAAGAGCTCGAGGAGAAGGCTGAGATGGCTGAGATGGTGTTCGTGGCTGCGGCACTGCGGCAGAGATGGTGCAGGGTGTTGCAGTTCGAAGACGCTCATGTCGCGCATGCGGAGCCTTGGGTTGAAGACAGAACATGTACAAGTCTCCGGAAAAATCAAGTTTTGCGGATGGGGTGGATAGTCGTTCGTCCTAGAAGTGCATCCCAAATACTGGGGAATCGGTCTTTTTCGTTCCTGGAATCCGCGAATCCCAGAAAGGGGCCCCGGCCCGGGGTAGTACTTTCGAAGGGGATCCACAGACCTTCTCCGAAGCCATCAGTTGGTGTGGAACACATCACACTCTCAGACGGTGGATCCCTGGATCCATGATCCATATAGGGGCTCCAATATAGGTTTCAGGACGTGAAAACAGACGTTCCAGTCTGATTGAGCATGTTCCATAGGGAATCCATATAGGGAATGGGTAGTTGGACGTGAAGACAGACGTTCCAATCTTAGAGCATGTTTGAAAGGAAGGTTGTATTGTAGCAAGGAAAGGAGATGGAATGTTCTCTCTGAACAAAACCTGAAAGAAAGGTGTTTCACCCAGGTGAAAGGGGGGCCAAGCCAGGTGAACCAATCTTGGAGTGGGTTTTGGCGTTTTACTTGATGAGGGTTATATGAATGGGATTGTATTATAGTCTTAGTTTTAGTCTTCCTTGAACCTCCAATGCAAAGAGATTTCTCGTCGTTTGTTGAAATCAATCGTTTGACAAAAAATCATGGCATTCCTGTCGATTCGATAAAAAACCTAGCGTTTCGTAAAAACATTACCGGCACAGTCAAACAGAGAGAAAACAACTGGAACGACAAGGAAATGTGATTTGCGGGCGTTTGCGGGTATTTGCTAGCGTTTGCGGGATATTTGCGGGCGTTTTGCGGGTAATTCTTGTCAAGCGTCCCATCTTAACCTTTGGCAGTCAGGACACCAAAACTGAAGTAAATTACGAGAATCCTGGAAACTATGTCGTTCTTAGCGATTGTAGCGTTTACAGTGTTTGCTTGCAAAATGTAGTCAAAAACAAAAACTATAAGAAAATTCTTGTCGTTGGAGGGTCCAGGTTATATTTTTCATCTCAGTCTTTCCTTGGGTGAATCCTCCATGACTCCCAGAGGTGTACACACACATGTACACACCAGCTTGACGAGGTCATGTAGCTGAGCAGCTTCTCAGAACCTGAGCACACCCAGAGGGTCACTGAGCAGCAGCTTCCAGATCACGAGATGTGCAGATCAGCTCGACCTCGGTGAAGACAAAACAGGACGAGGACTCGAAGCGTTCCGCCGGTCTTCCTCCACTGCGTTCCACCCGGCGCTCCTCTTCGTTCATCACGGCGCCGGCTTTCCTCGGCCGGGGCGGGCGGCCGAGCTGCGGACCGTGCGGCCGGTCGGCGAGGACCAAAAAGGGAAGCTCTGAGTGTCGGCGTTCGGCGGCGGCGGCGGCGGCGCAACGGGGAGGCTCGGAGGCTGCTCGAAGATGCGGCGCATGTTTGGAGTCATTTTGGGGCCCACTTCAATTATAAGAAGCTACTAGGGGCTCCTGGCATCGCTATGAACGGAGCAAGGACGCTACTAGGGGGGGCTCCTGGCCTTACTACTAGGAGCAAGAACGCTACTGGTACCTAAATAGCTTTGACAATAGGTTATTAGTATCCCTCTGATTGGTGTCCCCACACGTGATTAATGAAGCTCTTTCGGACACAAGCCGACGCCGACGCCACAGATGGGAGACCAGGTCATCCAACCGCAGATGTTCAGAGGCATCGAGACCTCCATGGATCCACCCTTTGAGAGGGTGAGTAGGGAAACACCTTGATGTAGGCGCCAGAGCAGGGTCCAAGATGGTCCAAGTATGTCTAAGTAACTTCTGAGAAGGTATGAAGATCTATGAAGGAACCCTATATATTATACCCTGGGGACTCCCTGGAGATCCACAGACCTTCTCAGAAGGTACGACTGGGCCCTCCAAGCCTACATAAACAGTCTCCAATCACCGTACCTGACAAGGTACGACTGGATCCCTAGGGATAGGGTAAGCAACAGGGCTTGTGTTGTGGAAGTCCTCCTGATCGCCTCTTTGGATTGAAGAGCTTGGGACACTGGGAACGTTTCAGGACACACCCATCAAAGCCGGAACTGGAAAACGGCAGCGGTTGTTGATCTGCCTTCAGAGATTCAGAGTGCATTTTTGTCAACCATGTATTATAAAGAAATGCACATGCGAGACCGCCCAGGTAACCTGGATTTCAACTTTCCTTACCAGATGCCCGATGGCAGCTGGCACAATTGGGAGGACGCTTGACCCGAATCCAGCCGAACTGCGCCCGACCTGCCCACGCGACCCTCGATCCTCCTAAGCAAGTAGGGGGCCGAACCCACCTTGGGACAGGTCCAGACCCTCAAATCTGATGAACCAAGGACCCTCAAATCCCTCAATTCCAGGTCCTCGCTCCTCCTTTGAGGAACCAAGGCCTGCGAACGGAGTGTTCAGGTGGCTCGGAGTCGAAATGGAAAACCACCTGGTTTGTGCCAGCATTCTCCAACAGGTCACCACCCTGCCACTTTTCTGAGTCTCCAAAAACCAGAGGAGACCTGTTGGAGGTTGCTGGTAGAAAAAAATGGTAATCCATCCATTTGGCAGCGGGAGGCTTTGAGCCGGCAGCTGGCACGGAGGAAGCCGTGCCCAAACCCGACTCTTTTATTGTGTGTGTGTTTTTTGGTTCTGTTTTTATTTATGTACTCTATATACTATATATATATATATGTGTTTATGGCTTTTGTCCAACTTTTGTCCTTTCATGTCCGATAAGGCTTTTGGCGTTTGAGATGGGGGAACCTTTGATGTCCTCCCTCACCGGCAATCCTTAAGCCTTCAGTGTCACGTTTCAGCGTCACCACAAACTTCTGGCCAAACCGTTTGGGCGTCTGAGAGTTGGTTTGTGTAACTCGTTGGTTCCTCACAAAGAGTTGTTTTTTCCAAAAACATGCTATCTCGGCCCAAACGATCTCCGCCTGCTCACAAAGAGTTCAGTAACAAATCGTAAAAGCGGGTAGGCCTTTTCTTCAGAAGTTGGAGGATGGATGTGGTCTCACCCGCGAACGCATGCCTTGGGGTCATTGAAACTCATGCCGGGTTCCTGGGGTAAAGACGCCCACCCCTTTTCAAGTATTTTATAGTTGAGTTTGTTGGTACACTCCCTGAAGCAATCATGAATGTGGAACACCACCTGCTTGTAGAGGAAAATGGTCATCCAAGGGGCCATTGTCCACTTCCATCATTTCATGGAGTGTATATGTTGGTATGCACTTGTTGTCCACAGGTTGCATCCAGCGAGTCTCGAATTTCCAGATATGGCGAGTATGATGCCACTTCCCACTTCCTTTGCATATAATGCTGCCACGAGACAAGTATATCTTCAACTCCAACAATCTATCTTGCGGTATGATCTGGCATGCAAATCTGAACCTGTTCTTGCACATGTATGACTGTATGATTCAACATGAAATAGTTTGAATAGTCTATAGTCCAGTGGCAACATCAGTAGCAGCTGTTGAACGATCTATATACACAACAGATACATTGAAAACCAATGCCAGTTTGATTTAGGATGCCTTGCAAGTGACATTGTTCGGTGACATTTATAAGGGACATCGGCGAAACACTCATCAAACAAACTGGGCACCAGCTCTCATGCCATCGACTCGAACGCTCTAAAAGGAGACACGCCAGACGAATCCGGATCCCACGGTCTAAGGACTTGACCTTCAACGCCGTCTTCTACAGGGACAACATTAACATTCAACATAAGGATGACATGGAGCACCAGGAAGATGTGATGGTGGCGCCCATGTTCGCCTTCGTGACAGGACGGAAGAGACCGAGACTCCCGGATTCGATGAGGAAACCGATACAGCATATACCCAAAAATTGAATAACCTCAATCAAAACTGGGGTCAAATTGGGTTCCAAGTATGAATATGCCCTGTGACATCCCTGGACCCTCTGAGAGGATGATTGGAGACACTATTTAAAAAACAGTGTAGGTGGCCTCCCAAAGGATAGGGAAATCACAAGCGTGACCGGGCCCAATTTTGGGGTGGAGGTCCATGTGACCTTCCTTGGGTAACGCTTTGGGGGCCCTTCAAGTCGTCCATGACGGGCTGAGAAATACAAGGACCAGCACCACCCGTGGGGGGACGAAGGGGTGGGTTTTTGGACCTTATCCTTATCCTTTGTTGGGTGATACAGGTGGGTTTGGCTACCTGGAGTCGACCCGTTCGTAACTTGGAACATGGGCAACAGTGTACAGTCGTACCTGTTTTTTGTTCGGGCCATCTCCCATGTTCTAGGATTCCAGGGGTACGAACTGGAGGGTCCAGGTATATACTGACTCCTGGCTTCGAGGGCTGTGGGGGCGCATGGGGTTGGATGTTTGGTTGATAGCAATTGGCCAGGAAAACAGCAGGACTGAAACGAGATCTCCTTGTCATTGTGACGTATATATCTGGACCCATCTGGACCCGACTTCAAGTACATTAGGAAGTAGGACATGACCCGGTAGTGACATGTAGTGACTGTATATATCCATGTTCTTTCGGTACGAACTCACATGTCGACATCTCATCATATCTCATCCATCTTCGTCTTCAGATCCTCCACGGCCTTGCCCAGAATCGCTCGTGTCCTGTCCGGGCGACGCGGTCTTCGCGTTCCGGACGAAGACAACACAGCAACACATCGGTCGGGCGTGACATGGACGTGACATGGACAAGACCATACCCAGACACTCCATGGGACTGCCATATATGCCGATCAGTTGGGGTGGTTTTGGGGGTCAATGTAGGCATATATGGCAGTCCCATGGAGTGTTGGGATATAAGACCAACAACATACGTGTATCCCTAGGGAGCCACTGGTCGCACCTGGTCAGAAGAAGGTGATTGGAGACTGTTTATGTATACTTAGAGCTAGGTGGTCTTGGAGGGTCCAGTCGTACCGAACCTGAGAACGTACGACTGGATCCCTAGGGTATTGTTTTGAGATACGGCCATATATAATACGTATATATATATATGGAATCCTTTGGCTACCTGTTCTCTTCAAGCCAAGTCATCTCCTAAGGGTGAGCTTGAGCTCCGTAGCTGGAAGTGTGAAACACTCCGGTCACCATGCCCACCTGCCAGGCATGCACACCGGGATGCGTCAACTGGGCGGCAAGAAGAATGGGAGAGGGAATGAGAGGGATGGAGAGGGATGAGCAGATTTGAACATGAGTCTTTCAAAGCACGACCTTACATATGTTTCGGCCCTCATTCTAATCCATTGGAAGCGATACGTCATGATCAATCGAAGTTCAAGAACCCTTGCATGTCTGAAGAAACCGGCCGTGTTTCACGTGGCGACGGCGGAGACAAAAAGAGGATCCTTCCGGGAAGAAGCAAGACAAAGATATACCAGCACCATCCAGCACCCGACTCTACTACAGGTCTCCTACATGGTGGCTGAAATGGAGACCTGTTGGAGGGTGCTGGTAGAGGACAACGATAAACAGGCAGATGGCTTCAATGATTCTTCAATGCTTTAATCCTTCGATGAGAGAATATCCTATAGTAAGTTACTATTAGATAGAATATGAGATTCTTAATTACTTGCAGTTAGAATACTTTTTTGACGTTCAACAACTAATTCATCGGATCCCATGCAGTTAGAATATGTTGAGTCCAGATAGTTGTTTATTAACAAACTTTATTCTATCTGCATCTGTGGAAAAGCCGTGACTTTTTTGCCAATGCAATTAGAATATAGACTAATTCAAAAGTCCGAAGTACTTCATATTATTCTATCTGATAGTAACTTACTATACGTAATTAGTCGTAGTAGTAGTAGTAGTAGTGGTAGTGAGATGGTGGGTGTGGAGGCGTCCCTGGATGGAACCGAGTGAGCAGGAGCGACGTCTTCGTTCGTTCCGTCGAGTACTCAGACCACTCAGACCACTCATCAGACCGGACCGGAGGGAAGGGAGCAGCGGAATCCGACCCGTGGGCTTTACGTATTTCTGGTGGACCGACCGTGGATTCTATGGATATTTGAGTTATATAAGCAGCTGGACCATGTTGGACCCTTCCAATCAGAGGAGTTTCACGTCAAGAACAGGTTCGTTTGTAGGTCCAATGAGTGGATTTACTACCAGCCATCCACGAGGTGGATTTGAGAGAGTTGTTGCTGACCTTCACCCCAAATTTGTGATGCCATTCTCTTAACGTTTGTGGGGAGTATAATTTAATCTTTTTCCTTGCGGCCTAAACATGAACGGCCCCAATTCTCCAAAGTATGCACAAAACGATACCTTGAAGCTTAAGGTGTATGGCTCCCATCCTCGGCAGTAGGAAGATTCCAGTGATGATTCTGGCAGCTCATTGAGCTGTCAATCAACGAACAACCTGCGCATCAACAGAATGATGTACACTCCCGAGTCAACTAACATAGACCCAGGTCCTGTCTGGCCCCCCTGGGTCCGAGTG